AAAAAAAAAAAAAAAAAAAAAGGAAAAAAGAAAAAAAAAAAAGGTAGATACTTGAAGTACCTTACAGTCAATCACCACCACCGATATTGATTCTTCGAACCTTCAACGGTACAGTTTTTTCAAGAACCGAGACATTAACGTTATTCCAATTATCCGACTTTGTGGGAAGGCGCGCGATTTTTTCAGCAATCACCATATCTTCAGGAAGCACAGAACCGAATACAGTGTACGAATTCTTCCACTCGTCATGGTTTGCAAGGCTTATGAAGAATTCCGGGCCTGACCCAACCCATGCCACCGAACCCCTTCTTATGGTTGGGCAGTGCTCGGAATTTACACTCTCAAACGCCTGTCCCTGTGCTTCTAGCGTTCCTTGAATAAGTGCAAACGGAGGCCCAAATGAAGTCTGATAATGAACAGAAGAAAAACAGGGAGCAATCAATCTAACACTGTCAATGGGAACCAGACACTTGTAAGAGAAATTATTGCAAATATCAGATATTGTTAGTAATTGGCAATAATGCATTTTTAGTCATGTTAACGTTATAGCAATTTTAGTCTCAATGTTTCAACTTTTCGCCTTTTGGTCCTGTGATTTAATATTTTACTGCAATTTCAGTCCTTAGAGAAATGCAATTGCAACAAAATGTTAAATTACATGACTGAAATAGCAATAAAATTTTAAGTTTTAGGATTTAATTGCTAATAAAAAATCCATCCCAAAGATATAAATTGGGAATTTGTTGCAATTTCAGTCCTCAAAATGACGGAAATTGCTGCAAAATATTAAATTATAGGACCAAAAGGCGAAATGTTATAATCTTCGGACTAAAACTGCTGTGACGTTAAACCAGCAGGACTAGAAATGCAATGTAGCCGTTAGTAATTATTTATCAGCTCTGCTAGGCATTTGCAGAACTACTTCTTGAAAAATTAGGCTGAACTCGAGACGACTAGATTATTCATGGTTATCTTAGCGTGAGTAATCCTCCAAAAGTTTCAAGATATTCCTCTATACATGTGTACATCTATAAAGCGGCAATATGATGCTTACAGAATTCAAGGTAATCATGAAAGCAAAGTACATGTTAATCACACTTGGTTAAAAATGAAGTGACGGTGGATCTCTTTTATATGATATGGAACTTAAATAAATGGAAAACTTAGGCTTACATCTTTTATGTGGTTTCCTTTAACGTCCCAGAATTGGCCTCGCCCTTCCGCCCGATAAAAATGGCAACCTGCACAGTGGCGCAAAGCCAACAACTCCAAGATATATGCAACTGAATGCGGTGCACAATCAGGAAATAACTGAAAATTTGCCCAAAAAAAAAAAAAAATCAGAAACTAAAATAAATCAGGATTTTATGTTGGCCTAATTGCCTCGTTGGGAGGCTGGCGTAGTTTTTTATGACAGCTCCAAAATATCGGCGCCAAGTAATGAAAATACACATGCACTAGAATTACAGTTCCAAGTAATTGTATTTGTAACACATAAAAACGATACAAAGCCATACCTTGATGTGAAGAGTGCCATACTCCGTCACTAACCCAACAATGCCCTTGAAGGAGAAGAAATGGAATCAAATTATTAATGCAAAGTAATTACAAAGAATAATACAAAATAAAACTACACAAAAAACTTACTCCTAAATAAACCAAAGATATAACAGAGTATCGAAGACAATAACAGTAGCAACTATCAATAAATTGAACTGTAATGCGTATTCCATATAACATGATGAACTAAAATGCAAGGTAATAAAATTATTCTTTGGTGTTATAAGAAACTGATTAAGACCAATTTACCTCTCCTCGACCAAAAACGATTCCGGATGTCCACATCACTGTCTTCCCTACTGCCTGCTTCTCGGGAGCCAGCACATCCTTCTGTTTTTTCAACCAGCACTAACACACAGAGTAAAAAGTGGAGTTAATAATATTTCTATATACACAAAGATAAGATCAAGTTAAATGGCAAACACCACCAGCAATCAAGTGCATCTATACATATACATTTATATATATATATATATATTCATCATAGATACAGATGATACTGCAAAAAACACTCACTTTCCATCAAATTACAGAGGACAAATAAAGAAGTTATTTAAAGAACATTGAATGCCATAACTTGTGTCAGATACATGAAAAGTGTGAACATAGAAAAGCAACTAAACTGAAGAATATAAAAATTCTAAATTGCCCTTAGCTACCACAATGTAACCATATACAGAGGCGATCATCACAACAGAGTAGTATATAATCTACCAACTATTTCACATCTATCAGAAGTCAGAACACAACCACAGGCCACAGTCAGAAATTCAATCAAGAATTACCAAACAGAATATATTTCTGATTAAAAAAGATAAAAAAAAACAACTAACCTCACCAAATTTCTCCCCACAAACTTCCTTATTCCCGCAAAAAACCCAAGAATCACAAAGGCACGGGCCTTGATTTCCAGTACACATGTCCTTACATGCTTGACAACACTGTTGAGATGAATTCAACTTGAATTCGGAGCCCCATTTCACAGCAGCACCCCAAAGCTCCAAATTCTCAATCCCTTTACAACAATCACCATCGCCACTAGATTCCAATTCCGAAATTCCATTTCTCAAAGGCCCAATCCCTGAATTGACTGGTGGTCTTAATGCGGAGGACATGAAGATGTATACCGCGGTGAAAGAGACCAAACCCATCAGCAGAAGAATTAGAGAACCCCACCTCGTGGGCTCCAATTCACTCCCCTTACGCCCCATCCAAATCAAACCCTAACTTAAACCCAGAAAGCAGCTGATGATATATTACTTTTTTTTTTCTTTTTCTTTTTGGAGAACAATTTTTGATTAGCTTGTAATCACAATTGTTCCATCAATTGATTATTCCTGCATCGATTTAATGAAATCATTTGAGTTGACTTATGGATTTCTTTCATTCTTCTTTTTGTTTTTTGTCTCCATTTTTTGTCTCCATTTTGGATTTGGAGCCTATTGTAGGTCCGTAAAAGTCATATTTACCCATTAAACATTTGTATACGTTTGATTTTGTTCATTGATAAAATAATTAGATGATGTTAAAACTTAAAACAAAAGTGATAATAAAAGATGACATAAATATTAATATAATAATAGGTGCTACGATTTTATTACTCTTCAAATTGTCACCAACCACTACACATCCAGCTCATTTTTGTCTTCCACTTTGTCACTTTAATTACGTTAATATAGCTTAAAACATATTTGTATATTGGCTAGAAGCCTATAAAACATGCGCTATACCTGTTTTCTGAATTTTCTACCTACGTATTTTTCTTAGTTAAAAAAAAATAAAAATAACTTCATGTATAGTAATAATTTGCAACATCTTGACAATTCTTTTTTTTTTTTTTACGAAACGACAGAGGAGCTATATAATATAAAAACGCGGACAAAGTCCGAATACAGAGTCAGAGACCAAATAAAAATACAAACTGGGAGGAAACGCTCAAGGCGCCCTAGAACAACAAGACACTCCGAGAAAAAACATAAAAACTCAACCGAACGCTCTCCACTGCCATAAGGCCTAGAGAGTGAACTACACTAGATCAACAATAAACCAAACCACAAGCTAGCCAAAAGAGAAAGCTAAACACAGCAAAATGAAAAAAAGACCAACAATAATACCAAACTAACTAAGCACTCAAAGAAGTGAACTCCAGCCAGTCTCTATGTCCTGCTTTGACTATCAAGTGAGGGGGAAGGAGGACATTTTGAAAGAGCCATAAATTCCTGGACTTCCAGAGCCACCAAAGCATGTACGTAGTTAGTTGAATCCTAGCTTCGGCAATCTCTGAGGACCCCAGTTTGCAAATGTGACTCCACCAGTGTTTGAAAGAATGGTCCCTGGTCTGAATTCCATCCCACTGGATTGGAGAGATTTCCCACATTTTGATAGCTCGAGGGCAGTGAAATAGCATATGATCAAGAGTTTCTGGTGAGTCCCCACAACTATTGCAGACAATATCAATGTTCAGCCCCTTTTTCCATAAGTTGGTTTTAACTGGAAGAGAGTTATTCAAGCATTTCCAGATGAAATGTTTGACTTTGCCAGCCACCTTCAAGTTCCAATACCTGTTGCCTAGATTTCTGTGTGAGGGACTTGCTGTTGAGCTGCTACAAGGAATATCCAAGGATAAAAGTTTTTGCTGGGATAAGTGCAGGTAGGTGCAGGCCACTGAAAATCTCCCTTTCTTGTCCAATTTCCACAGAATTCTGTCCTGCTGATCTTTCTTGAGTGTATTGATTTTGAGGATCTCCCGGCTATCAGCTTCATTGAAAACTTGTTGTACCAGCCATGTGTTCCAGTTCCTCCCAGACTCATCAATCAGCTCTTTAACCCAAATGAGATGACCCCTTGCAATTTCAATCAGTTCAGGTTTAGTGTTAGGGAGTGTTGGCACCCAATTTAGATCATCAATTCTGGTGGAGTGTCCATCTCTGATTTCAACAGCAAAGCCCTTAGCAAAGATTGGCAAAACTTTCATCCAATTACTCCATAGCCATGAACTGTTATGGGGTTTGACTGCTTCAAAAAGTGAACAGTTGGGGAAGTATTTGTCCTTCAGAATTCTGCTTACCAGCAGTTGAGGTTGGGTAGAAATCCTCCATAATTGCTTGCAGATAAGGGCAGCATTGAAGAGCTTTATGTCAATGAAACCAAGGCCTCCAGAGTTTTTGGGAAGAGTAAGAAAGTTCCAGTTTTTCCAGTGGATACCCCTTGAGTGATCTTCCTTGGTACTCCACCAGAATGTAGCACAAAGCTTTGAAATTTCAGCACATAAGGAGGCAGGCAAAAGAAAGCATGACATGGAGAACACTGGGAGGGCTTGAAGAACAGATTTGACCAAGATTTCTTTACCTGCCTGAGAAAGGAGTTTGGACTTCCAGCTGGATATTCTTGATTTGACTGAGTCCATAACATATTGAAAGGATTCCAATTTTGATCTCCCAATACCCAGAGGAAGGCCGAGATACCTGGTGGATCTGTGAGAGGCAATGCCCTGCAGTGTTGTACAGATGCTCTCTTGGATAGACTGAGGAGTGTTCTTACTGAAAAAGACAGCTGATTTTTGAAGGTTTACCAGCTGCCCTGTGAAGAGTCTGTACTTATCAAGGATATTTAGCAATGTGGCAGCTTGGTCAACACTAGCCTTGCAGAAGAAGAGAGAGTCATCTGCGAAGAGAAGGTGAGACAGAACTGGTCCATTTCTAGATAGCTTCAAACCCTTAAGAGCACCAGAATCAATGGCTTGAGTGACAAGGGCAGACAACAATTCAGCTACTATGATAAACAGATAGGGGGAGAGTGGATCTCCTTGTCTAATTCCGCTGCTAGGAGTAACAAAGCCACTGATTGACCCATTAACTTTGAATGAATAAGTACAAGAGGTAATGCACATCATAATCAGGTTAACAAATTCCACTTGAAAGCCCATTTGGATCATGATTTTTTTCACACTTAGCCACTCTATTCTGTCAAATGCCTTCATGAGATCCAATTTCAGTGCCATAAAGAAGTGTTTACCTGAAGAGTGTCTGTTTAAAAAGTGAAATGCCTCTTGACCTATTATAACATTGTCCAGCAATTGTCTGCCTTTAAGAAATGCAGACTGAGAGTCACTGATACAGATATCCAAGCAAGATTGCAGTCGGAGAGATAAAATCTTAGACAGGATCTTATAAACCACAGTGCACAAGCTTATAGGTCTGAATTGGGATAAAAGCTCAGGGTTATTGCATTTTGGAATTAAGGTGATTAGGGTATGGTTCCAGTATTTGAGTAAGGCACCATTTTCTTGAAAAAAACTAGATACAGCAGCAATGATGTCAAATTTGATAATGTCCCAGAATTTTTGATAAAAGAGGGCAGTCATACCATCTTCCCCGGGAGATTTGTCTGGATTGAGGCCGAAGAGTGCTGCTTTTATTTCCACCTCTGTAACTGGCTGCAGAAGGTTCTGGTTCATCTCCTGAGAAATGGAATGGGGAATCAATGGGAGCAGAGAGTCACCTCCCCAAGAGCCCTCTGTAGAAAACAGCTTGGTGTAAAAGTCTTCAATATGAGTTTGGATGGCTTCCTGAGATGTACATATCCTGTTCTGGCTTGTGAGTAATCTTGTTATAGCATTCTGCTTTGCCCTGTGTCTGGTGAAAGCGTGGAAGAATTTCGTGTTGCAGTCTCCTTCCTTTAGCCACTGAACTTTGGATTTCTGTTGCCAAAATAATTCCTCATATTTATGTGCTTCATTCAGCTCCTTTTTGGTTGAGTCCCATTTGTCCCAGTGCTCTTCCAATCCCAGTGCTTGAAGAGATTCCAGCTGTTTAGTGAGAGCTTCTATTTTATGCTGATTCTGAGTTTTGAAATGAGCACTCCAAACTAAAAGGGCCTGTCTGGTAATCTTGACTTTCTCTTTCAGCTGATAGAAAGGGGTCCCTCTGACTGTGGTTGTCCAAGCTGCTCTAATAACCTCTGTGATTCCCTCCTTAGCCAACCATCTTTTGTCAAAGTGAAATCGGCTTTTTACTCTTTTTTTCCCAGTTCCAGAGTTGAGAAGTAGAAGAGAGTGATCTGAAGCACTTCTGGTGAGAGTGGATATTGAAGCATTAGGAAATTTGTTTAACCATTCTCCTGACCCAAAGCCTCTGTCCAATTTTTCTTCCACCAATCCTTCTGAGGATCTATTGTTACACCAAGTGTATCTGTATCCCACCATTTGGATTTCCTCCATTCTCATGGCATTAACAAAGTTGTTGAATCCTTCCAGACTTCTGGCAGATCTCCTGAGTCCACCTTTCTTATCACTCTGAGAACAGAGATCATTCCAATCCCCTATAGAAAACCATCTCCTTCCCCATTTCTCTTTTTCTGTCACTAACAATTTCCATTGTGCAGCCCTGATAGTGCTACAGGTACTCATGTAGACAAAGATCCCCCACATGGGGTCCTCATCTTGTAGCTGGTACTCCACAGCAATGAAAAATTCAGCAGCTTGGGATTGAAGAATTCTAACTTCAGAGGACCAGAATAAGAGGAGACCTCCACTTAATCCTTTAGGTTCTACTATCACAAATCTGTCCTCGATACCAAGTTTCTTAATCACTGTCCTTGTAAAAGCAGCTGGTTTTTTTGTTTCAGAAAGAAAGAAAAAGGTTGGGTGGTGAGCCTTCATTGACTCTCTGATTTGGGAAACTGTAGAGGGCCCACCCAGCCCTCTACAGTTCCACACCGCAGCTAGCATTGATCACTCGGGTGCCACTCGAGGCTGGCCTCCCCCACCTTAGACTGAGATGCTTTCAATTTTTTCCTATCTGTTGCAGAACCTGTTGCTTCTTGTTGTTCAGATAAAATCAATTCTGATTCCACTCTGGATCTTTTCCATCTCACTGTTGGCATGATTTGATCTTGTCCTTCTTCCTGTCTTTGCAATCTGGTAGTGGATCTCTTCCATGATTTAGGTTTAACTTTCAGAGGAACCAATGCCTTAGTTTCTGGAGGATGAGTATTTTGGAGAATATGGTCCTCTACTTCCATGTCTCTGATAGTCAAATGTTTCTGGGTAGAGTTGTGAGATGTTGTGATTATTATGGGCAAACTTTGGTGAGGAGATGAAGGTTGCTGGCAAGGTTGAATGGATGGTGTACTGATCCCTTTACCTTTATCAATAGGTGATTCAGCTGGGGATGATGTTTCTGGAATTGCAATCAGCTGATTGTTATCTGCTACTTGACTGGTTGATGTATGAAGAGGAGTGGAGGGGGTTGGAGAAGAGGGTTTTTCAGTCTGAGAAGGACTTCTATTATCTGAAGAATTAATTCCTGACCAATGTTGTCCCTCAGGGGCCTTCATCCAGTCACCAAATTGTCCTTCCTTAACATTATTGAGTCTAATGTCTTCCATCCGTTTGTTGCAACTTCTGTCCAGATGACCTATCAGTCCACAGTAATGACAATGGTTCACCAATCTTTCATA